GTCAAAACATCCAAAATGGTGAGTTTATCTTTCTTATTTTATGTAATTTTAAGCCATCATATATCTGTCGATATATTTTGTGCAATATATACAAATAATATGACTTGCTGAGTGTGATTTAACTCTTTCGAAAATATTCTATAACCTGTACGGAAAGAATCTACACTTAAACTTAGACAGGAAATCGGACATTCAGTCTATGTAACGATCTTCGTATATTTTGTTTGTTAATGCAATTAAGCAATATTATCTTAAAACTGCCGCAGATTGGCTGATCCTTCAATCCGCCGATGACTTGATAATAACAGGATGTAACTGGGTCAGAACAGGATAGTGAAGATTGTATTATACGATTTAATCACTATTCACATGTACAATTTTCAACTTAATTGCCCGCATCAAGATAATAGGAGTTTCTTTTTAAAATTTGAATCGCGAGATCACATGCTAATATGATTTCGTTGTTGAATGATCGACGCCATATATATATATATATATATATAGCATGAAATATCTTTCAATGTGAAGCTAGTCCGGATAAAGGTATACCTTTCAAAAAATAGTTTTGAAATATTTCTGAACTTCGTCCAAAATAATTTTTACGGGAAAACGTTACTCTACAGAAATTCCTAATTTATGGAAACTTGCCACGCATAGTTCATTCAATGACTATTATATACAATGAGTATAAACTCACGCGTCACTGCTTATTATATTGTGCGCTTCATTTTCACGTCGTCCTACTCCATGGTTCGTTGGATATGGAGAAAGCAGATTCAGATATTTATTTTCGTGATGCAAAACAATGCGCGATATGTAAAATGAATGAATAATATATGGTAACAAAATGACAAACGGATCTCGGCTTGTTGCAGTTGACGAGGGGTCGCAAAAATACTCAAAGAGTCATCTAGTCAGCGACACCTTGCAGCTGAAATTAAGCAGCAAATAAAGCAAACAGGACACTCAATATTACACATTAACTTAATTGGACACGATCATACAAAAAAGGAATGTCAAAAAAATTCGATTAACCACAATCACTGTGGAATATCAAACACTACTCAATTAAATTAAATCATACAAAAAAAGCATAGCATAGCAAAAGCTATAGCATACCGCTAGCTGCAAAAATCCTTTGCTTCAGTCGAGTCGGGTGAGAAATTGACTGTATTGAGGACTTTGATTCATGTTCGGTTTTGGGTTCCGAAGTATAGTATGGTGGAGGCATACAAGCTATAAGCCAATGGAATAAAAGTACTGTAAGAATACCGAATGGGTACTGTAGATTTTTCTCTGAAGATGACGGCGCGGTGCAGAAGCAAGAAGACTGGCACTGTAAAGACTTTGGTTTCTTGTCTCTAGTCCTCATACTTTGAAACTTTGGCTTCAAATCAAAAAGAAAATTTATATAGCGATGTAATCCTTATTTTTTTTATCATTGTACAGATAAATATGTAAACCCTATCCAGATAGGACCAGTATAAGCTTCCGTGACTATGCAGATTGAGATTTATTCTATCTATCTACATCAGCGTTTCTCAAACTTTTTTGACCATGCCTCGGAAAACACTAAAAAATAAAAGGGTAAAATGAAGGAAACTAGATAGCGTTCGGGAACCGCCGACTTATCGATATTCCGCATGTTCAATATTTTACTCGACAATTTGGGACAATACACCGGTCATCACCGGCCCCACAAAGTCGAAGCGGCGTGTCACCAAAATACCTAAACGCTCCACACCGCAGACAGGGCATTGTTGCGCACACAATCGCAGCGACAAAAGTTAGGAGATCTCCCAGAACAGAAACTGCGGTTTCGATTTCTTCGCTCTGACTAAATAGCGACACCGCGTGTCCTATCACTAATTAATTGATAACTCGCTAATTATACGACATATTTCATCCAAAATCAATAGGATTCTGGTCCGAGATATGATGAATGCACATGCAAACTTTGGAGCAGATTCAACCTTTCGTGAAATATCGCGTAACATACGAAAGTGTCTAACAGACAAACAAACAAACAGCCAAATACCTATCAACATACTTATCGATCGAGATCGATAAGTAAAACATGGTGTGATGCAGTTCCTAAAGGGTGCGCCGTGGCGAGTTGCCAAATGCGCCGCGAAAACTAAAAGAATTGATACTAAAAATATAATATTGCATTCATTATAAATTAGGCCGTGAGACGAAACCATGAAAAACGCCTAGAAAGTGAGTTTCGTAGCGCACATGTGGGAACTATATAAATTCTTTAGTTTTGTATGAAAATACTGAACGCATTACAGCTTGTTCCCACTAACGAAAGTTGCACATTTTCTGTAAAACATGCTTCAAAAACCCTGATGCAACTATAAGTTTACAACGACACAGCATGTGGAGTTGCATTCATTTTATAGGAGCCACCAAACGCATCAATTTTACGCGATAGAGTCACAAATTAACATCGTGAGCACAAAACCACAAATAAATCTGTTAAAATCCTGATGCAAAATTGCATATAAGGGGGTTCACTGAAAAGCAATATTCATAGGTTCACAACAACACAGCATAAGAACTATGCAATCCCGCTGCACACCAACACAAATGTATTTTTGAAACGTTCCTTCCGACCAAAATCAGATTTCCTCAGGCAAGCAGTTTACAACAAAGAAAAGCATAAGAGCGGAAGTGTGACGTATTTTGGCAATAGTGGTACAGTGCTATCTTATCTCAGCTGTTTCGTGCGCTTGGTATAATTATTGTGTCATTCCTGATATTCTATTTATCAATTGTGGAAGTGTGAAGAATTTAGGAATAAAAAGGTCGAAGACATGTTCAAGATTGTTTCCAAGAACATTTTATGTTTCAATTGTTTGCTCCCACCTCCCAGATCACTTTGCAAGTCAAACTATCATTGTAGAACACCAGGTTACAATATAAGGCATCACACACTGTTACATGCTGGTAAGAAGCCTGATTCAGTTAAAACGAATGGCAGTACAAATGGGCAATCCTCACAAGATACGAGGCCGGACTGCTAATGAGGCTGGTGTAAATTTGACTCTGCTATGTGCTATTGAAGTTATTAAGGGAAGGTGGTCCCTGTGCGAGTATGGAGAACCCAGAATCAATCATATATAGGACACATGGATTTATTGATGATGGCAGTAATGTCAACATCATCAAAACTGATCTAATGAAGAAGCTTGGTCTACGAGGCACAAGCGACCCACTCATAATTAAGACGTTGGGGGCAAAAATCTAGCATAAATCAAGTCCTGAAGTATCATTTAACATTCAAGGACTCAATGAAACACCCAACGGCCATAAATAAGATCTGGAGAATCTTTAACTCGAAATACATCAAAGGCTAAAAATTAAAAAGGGAGTACGTGAATGATTGCCTCCGATATTCGCCAAAGTAGCAAGCTGGAACTGGACATAACATATAATAATGAAAAAACAAATCCAGACATAAGAGGAAAACAAGAGGACGGCAATAATAATCCACGATTCGAGCATGTTGGTTCATAAATACGAACAGAACAAACATTAATTTTTACCATTAATTATTATGTTAAATTATCAAGTATACATCACATTTTGTCGGAAGAAATTTCATCCACTTCTTTATTTCAGTTTTCAGCCTCTTAGTGACTCCAACCACTTCAAATCTTTCACCTCATCATTCATCTGTTGAAATTTCATCCACTTCTTCCTTTTAGAGTTCGACTTTTTAGTCACAAAAAATTTCATCCAGTTTTAGTTTTCAGCCTCTTTGGGAACAATCCAACTTCCGGATTTCATTCCGCCTTTTAGTGTTGTCCGCATATTTTGGTTGAAAAGTACCAGTAACTACCAACCATGATATTTTATACCGTTCGTACATAGTCATATGAACCATATGCTTTTGTCGTATAATACTTCCAAACCCAAACCGCACATAACTCGAAGAATTAAGGACCTCAATACAGTCAAGTTCCTTATACTATTTTCTTAAAGTTTTCTCTATGTTCTTTCCATCTGTAATAAACAAATGCCTGGCAAATTTCCATAAAACAGATATTTATGTTAGGTTATATTGTCCCTGAAAAAATCATTTCTGACGATGCTTTAAAATATCCCAAAGCTCATTTGCATATCAATCCCCCATAGAACTCAAGTTTCTTTTACTGCCCGTGAAAGGTATTCTGCTATTCTTTTTAGCTTTTGCCAACCTATGCGTGGCAAGTCACCAGAAAGTAGTGATTTACCTTAGTGAATGTCGTCCTGTAAAAATTATTTCCGGCGAAACATATAAATATTCCAGAGCTAATATGCGTATCAATCTCCCATACAGGTCAAGTGTATTTTAAAGGTATTCCGATATTCTTTTCAACAACTTTCCGGTATAAACTTTTGCAAGACCAGTCTTTCATTTAATCATAAAATATACTCCTAATTCTTGTTGCGTAAGAAATCATTTCCGTTGATTTATTGTGTTATTTCAAAGCTAATTTGCATATCAATCATTCAATGTACTTTTTTTCATGAACTGGAAGATAATATAGACATTAAAAAGTGGGAATTAATTTTCACCGAAAATCAAAATTCTTTCTCTGTTTTTAACATCTAGTGTTGTTGGGCTATTTTGTACCACAGCTGATTTATTGCAGCAAAAAGTTACTCCAGCCCACAATTTCAGACGTTTTGTTCATTTCAAGTATTTTGCATCGAGTAGTTATGTGCAGTGCTTGATTTAGGTTATCTTAAATGGAAAAGAAGTTATTCCGGATATAGCTGAGACATATAGATACCGTACATCATTTTGTTGTAGAGCGCGGTTACACCATCCCACAGTTTCGGTTACCCTGGCCCACAATTCTGGTCTCTCTTCCAGTTTAGCGGGTCGCAGATTTCATTGTGGGAATCGGTTTTTATGTAAAAGAATATGGTATTTGTCCCATCTAAACTCATTGGGTATGTCCTGCTAAAACAGATATTGAACATAATTTTTATATTTAGGTGAAATTCACAATCGATCAGATCCGTCAGATCATGGACAGAAAAGCCAATATTCGGAACATGGCTGTTATTGCTGATGTGGATCATGGAAAATCTACAATAACAGACTCCCTTGTTAGCAAAGCTGCTATCATTCCTACTGATGAGAAAGCTGGAGAGTCAATGAAGTGAGCTTCAAAACAAATACATCCTCAAAATACAGTGGGGCACAACTCCAAAATTCATGAAAAAAATTAGTTCTGCAATCGATGGCACTTGGCATGACTGCAGATGCGAAAGATGCCGCGATAATAAGTCAAGCTTTGGCAGTCACATGATCAAAATTTTCATTTCTCCATACTGGTTTTTGCCAAAATCTCTCAAATGCTACTGTGAATCTTTTTTGGCATTTTATGAATCAGTATATGTTCTTTCGGGGAATCCAATGGTGATGTTTTTAGATTCTGCGTCCACATAGTTTCATTAGGTAGTATTGGTTCCGCATTATGGAGACGCTACACCATCTCGGTTTGCATTCATCATTATAATTGATGTCTTTAAATATGGTGGTTATTTCTGGAATTGGAGCCATATTGAAATAGATATAGAGTGAAAAAGTTTGGATTTTAAGTATTGGTCACTTATTGTTGTAGAAGGAAAAATTGAAATATTTTTTCACATTTTTTTAGTGCACATTCTCTTTATTATGAATTGTCTGACGGAGATATGCAATATATCACGGGGGAAAAAGATGACAATGGATTTCTCATCAATTTGATTGATTCAATGGGACATTTTGACCTTTCATCAGAGGTTACAGCTGCTCTGCGTGTTACAGATGGTGCACTGGTTGTGGTTGACTGTGTTAGCGGTAAGTACTGGTTTTGAGCATTTGTCATATGAGAATATTTGCGGTGTCTCCAAAATGTCGTGTCCCATCTTTCCCACGTGTACTACTTGTCCCATGTGTACCACTTGTCACATGTGTCCACTTGTACCCCATGTCCCACTTGTACTGCATGTTCCACGTGGCCCACATGTCCCATTAGAATAGCATTAGAAACCATACCATGACTGAAATGGAATCGAATCACTGAAACATTATACAAAGAAGTAAACGCGACGCGGATTGTGATGATAAATTAATTAATCCATGTTCTTTTCCGGTTGCACCGCTTTCATCCCGACATGCCTGATGACTCATACTTGTTTAAGATGCGCGTCAAGGCAACATCAAAGTCAGGTTCTATTACATTTGAACCCACGACAATTGCACCTATGCAAATTTTTTTTATTTTACGGATATTTGAACCCATACTGTAACGCACGGATTGGAGTCTCGAAAACTGCGCTACGTTTATACTCATCCACTGTCAAGTACCACGTCCCGGTTCTCCTACAATTTGCAATGCAAACTTGTAACATTCAGTCCCCACCCACAGTCTTGAACTTCTGAACCCAGAAATCGACAGAAATACGGCAATAACAATCAAAAATGCACACGGAGTTTGATTCAACTAACGTTAAATATGACTGATGAGTTTGATTTCAAATATAGATAGATTCCGGGATTAAATAACTAAATAAAATACAAAACAGTTAGTAAATATCAACACACAATAAATCCTATATAATAATGATTCCCTAACTAAATAATATCAATAGCAGAAATCTCTAATAACTTACAAAACACCCTCTCAACTAAATCCTAAAAGACCGGCAAAGCAGATAAAGGCAGATTGCGACATAACAAGCTCGCCTCGCTCACAACAGAGAGCAATGCAAGATACTAACTATAGAGCAAAGGGTCGTCGTCGGTCGATTACCGCAGCCAATAGCGTGCAAGGTAAACACATATTGCGACATAGCTAATCTCACTCTCTCGAATACGATAAAAAAGAAATACCAAAATGCACCTGAGTCCATTACACATACTAACCCTAACCCATGGGTTTTAGCAGCCGCATATAGATTGAGCCCGCGGATATACACATGAGTTCAAATGTACGGTCACCTCAAAGTCATATCCCTTTTCCGAGAAACAGCAATCCCACAATAGAAAAAAGCTTTGCATGGCGTTTTGCATATAGAGCACTGCTTTCTTCTGCTTCTCGAATTCATTTCGATAAACTGTAATACTGGATCGATCTAACCTAACTTACTCTGTCAGTCTATCTAAACACGCTCAATCTAAAATATCACTACTCTTAAAATTCTCGAAACTTGTACGGCACTGTGTATGACGATTACCTAAACACTATATTCCATTTACTTGTGGACGTCACAATCCACAATCCTTGCACTTGTGCGCAATAACACGTCTGCAGAAGCTACCGTAATTTGTTTAAATAAATAAGTCTTACGGCGAAACATTACTAGGTTGCAAAGCAGTTTATTGTGCAATCATTAGGTAGTTTAACCAAGGGTATGCAACTTTTAATACAGGAAGCCTGATAAAGAAAACTGAGTAAAACCGCGGGTCGCGCTTCCATTCACACAAACATTTTTGTTATTGATGTTATGACGTGGGTTACCACTGCCGGAATATAGCCGTGTCGATATCGGCGATAAAAGCGGTATCGGTATATCTTTAATGTATGTATGTATCCCAAATAAAAATATGAATTAGAAAACATTTTTTATAAATACCGTATTTAATGAGACAACTGGGAAAAGTTGGAACACGCGGAACAAGTGTGGCGAGTGGGACACGTGGGGAAAGTGGGACAAACGGAACACGTAGGACAAGTGGGACACGACATTTTGGAGACCCGAATATTTGCTGAAGTTTGTTACTAAGAGGAGCGGGGTATATTGATTGAGCATATGGGGTTAATTGAGTACAATATATAAAAAACTAACTTACTTTTTTGTATGTTAAGGGAATGGTTTGTACTTTGTAGCAACAATAGTTCATAGCTTCTTAGCTTTGATTTAACTAGTAGATAGAGTGTACTCATTTATCCTCGAAAAATAAGGTCAAATTATGTATACTGACTTCCAAAAAAATTGCATTTTAAAGGCGACTTGAATCATTGAATAGGATTCAAACTATTATGCAAAGAAGTACAGAGTCAGAATGTTACAATGAAACCATAATTTCAAGGAGAATCTATTTCACTCAAATTTAACATTGCTTCAAATGCCAAAAAAGTTTCAAATAACCACCTATCCCCTTCCCTATTCAGGTTTCAAGTTGTATTTCATTAAACATGCAAGCAAATGATGTCAATTTGGTTATTTCAATAACAAATATTTTGTGCTATCAGGTATTAGTGTTCAAACTGAAACTGTACTTCGCCAAGCAATTGTTGAACGTGTCAAGCCTATTGTTTTCATGGACAAGATGGATAGGGCTCTCTTGGAACTACAGCTTGAGAAAGAAGCTCTTTATCAAACCTTCTTTGGAGTTATTGAAAATATCAATGTCATTATTTCAACATTTGGTGGCAGCAGAGAAACAGAAGCTATCGGAGATATCCAGGTCATATTAATAATATTTTAGACAGCGCTCTACCAGTTTAAGAATTAGACTTGATGTGTGGGCATCGCACCTGTGGTAGACTTATGTCGAACATGAAAGATTACGGTTCTCCAAATATTAGGTTGCAATTTAGATATCAGTGGGTGCTTGTATCTTGATCGAAGCGAAAGACTCATGAGTGCCCTAAAAAAACAAAAAAATGCATTCAACCGCATGGCTAGTAGTATTGTCGGGATAATAAGTAGATTTTCTTGGCTTTGCTCAACTTTGAATGGAAAAGAAAATGATAGCGCTATCTCCATCAGTTTTAATGAATCTGCGTTTTCGCACTATAAATCCGGACTCGCTGTGATTTTAATATATTTGATTGTGCCACATTTTCATATTATAGAAAAACCGTCATTTTTAATGCTAAAGATTGACCTTTACTTTTTTGGGGAGTCTGTTCATTAGCCGGAAAATACAGTAGTTATGCGTTTTTCGTGTACCCAACTGAATGGAATACTTACTTGACAGTGCAGCCAGGAATAATTTTAATTTGGGGGGTACGATGAATAAAAATCGACATGCGCACGAATGGGAAAAAACAAACTAGACTATGACTATGCCCAAATTTCAATTTATGACGCCGTAATGCGTTCGAAAGAATTGAAATTTGTGCGCAGTTTGCAGCGAAATTCCACAGTTATGTGTAGCTTAACTCCCTCGAGCAGACGTCATTTGGTGAATATTTTGCTCGTCCTATTTCAAACATCTACTAATCGTCGACCATTAATCCGCAATCAGCGGTAACCTTGTCGTGTTGTTCGCTCTCGATTGTTTCATAAATGAGCTAGTTATTTGCAGGAGAGAAACAAATGTAACCGCACTCTCGGAAATTATGAGCCGGGTAGGAGATATTTGCATCCCCGTGGCTTGCACGAATGTGTTAAATGTACACGAAATACAACGAGAACAAAGTGGAAGCTTTACAATCTAGAAACAAAATGAAATTGACAGAAGGATTGATTTTTTTCAATCAAATAATTCGAATATTTTCAACGAATACCGAATAATGAGTAGTGTCAATACTCTTTGGAATTTACTAGAAGACAGAAAACTATAACAACCCAGCGATTTTTATTTATTAATTCTGTCATAATCACAGATTGTTTTGGTCACCACGATCGTTTCTTAATTTATAGGCCATGCAAACAATTTTATGGTGGTGATACGCGAAACCGTGACGCAATGCCTGTAAAACACTGTTTCTTTTTGTATAAGGTAGGAATTTTGCATCAAACCCTGTAACCCTCCCACTGGCTGCGGCCATGTTGCTTGATATCTTTTTTCATATGTTTCCACTGCCAGTAAGTTCATTCCGTAATATGAATGACTAATTTAAACAGGTTTTTCCAAACAAAGGAACAGTCGGTTTTGGTTCCGGACTCCAAGGATGGGCATTCTCTCTTAAGCAATTTGCTGAAATGTATGCAAATAAATTTGAAACTACTTCTGAAAAGTTGATGGACAAGTTATGGGGAGATAACTTCTTTGATGTGAAAACCAAAAAATGGTCTAATACCAAAACAGATACAAATGAGCGTGCCTTCTGCCTTTATGTGCTGGATCCCATTTACAAGGTAATTTGATTTTGAAGTCAGTACTATGTGGGTTAGCGTAAACAACACGCTATCCAAACAACCAGCTACTGAAATTTTGTCCTAGTTTATTTTCTGAGTTCGAGAATTGCATATTACTGTTTTATATAAACTAATTCTTTGACTTTGATGAGCATATATTTCACAATTTATCAGGCTTTCGATGCTATAATGAACGATAAAAAAGAAGACATTGAAAATGTGATGAAAGTCACTGGTGTTTCATTGAAAGGAGATGATAAGGATAAAACTGGTGAACCGCTGATGAAGGTACGTTTGTGTGTTATTTCTGTATGAAATCTCAATAGTTGCTGCACTTAATAGGCCCCAAGAGTGATAGTTGATAGCGATACTTGTAACTACAACTTCTTACATGCAAAGCGCAGCATGGAGAATTTTTTCTCGTTAAAGAATTATGGAGAATTATGCCTCCTTTCTTAAAAGAGTTACCTATACTTTTTGTTTACATAGTGATACAATATGGTTAATGAATTCAACATTTCTTTACCTCCCCAGGTCTTCATGCGCACTTGGCTGCCAGCTGGTGACACTTTGCTGCAGATGATAGCAATCCACTTACCATCACCTGTGACATCACAGAAGTATCGTATGGAACTTTTATATGAAGGTCCTCAAGATGACGAGGCCGCAAAAGGTGAAATAGATTTAATTGTTTGTGTTTAACATTTAAATTTGGACAACATGGACAATTCTGAATAGAATTATTTTAATTTTACCTTATATATATAATATATATATATATATTACCTTATATATATAATATAGCACAAAGGTATCTTGAAAACAGTGTGGCACTTCGCAATTTTTCGCATCTGAGAATAGGTTATTGGTAATACCTATTCGTAGGGTTTGGGTTTGTTGCGTGTCATATGACTTAAAACAGCGTTGTGCAACCTATATTGTGCAGGAGGGCCATGTTCTATCTAAATCACAAATTTGTGCCACGATAACGATGATAATTATTTTATTTTACTAATCACACGCAAATGTGAATCCAGTGAAAGTTATTATACGTTTATCGGCGGCGAGATTGTGAAGACAAATGATGGAGTAAAAACCCCACCTAAATTTGTTGATTGAAAAGCGGCAATATAAAATATAAATTTTCCTTTTTATCCATTAAAACTGCCGTCGACGATTTTCGTGTTTCCGTCAAACTAGGTTGAGAACGCGACTTTTTCCCAGTTTGGGACAATATATAATATAATTCGATCAATTTTCATTGTACTGAAATAAATTGTACTCAGTGAGATTTTACAGCAGATTTACAGAATTTTCCTAAAGGTTTTATCTTTAAATATAATCGTAGTGGCATCATTGCGATTGAGCTGAGCAGTATTACAAGTAGCCTACATCTCAAAATAGCTAACTTCGCTAATATAGCAGTGGCGACTCGGTACTGATATAGGCTTTGCCACACCAAGAGAGATTGAAATTGCTCTCACGTACCAGATTAACTAAACTTTAAACTCGTTTCACGGGCACACTATTCGAAATTGGCACTCCTCCGCAGGCCGCACAATTTTTTTTTGCGTGCCGCAGTTTGCACTCTTCTGACCTAAAACCTTACATATTTATTCAAGGTATTAAAAACTGCGATCCTAAAGGACCTCTGGTAATGTACATCAGTAAAATGGTGCCTACAAGTGACAAAAGCAGATTCTACGCTTTTGGCAGAGTTTTTTCTGGAACTGTTGCCACCGGGCAGGAAGTTCGAATCATGGGTCCTAATTATGTTCCTGGTAAAAAAAAAGACTTGTACAAGACGCATATTCAAAGGTGCTATTTTTATTATCGACTATCAACTTGGTATTGCATCTGCTATTTCTGCTTAGATTTCATTGTGATTAGGACTGGTAACACTGATATGTAGAAACTGGTAACTTGTCATAGCATATTAAAATATGCCATTGTCATAAGATTTATTGAAATTATATTGTTGCTATATTGCTCCCCTTGTTCAGAAGCATCTGTGGCATCTGATAAAGTGGCAAATTAGCCTAACCATTGCATGTAATTGCAAGTCTTCTAACATCGGTTTACTGAGGATAGTTTGTATATGTTTATTCCAGAGAAGAGGAATGCCAATTCAACGGCTCAATTACCCAACTATTTGCCCTGTAAAATGTTTTAAATTCTACATGAGTATCAAAGTTCCTAACTGCACACACACTTTTTGACAAGGTCAAATTTTGTTATAAATTCTGACTGTTTATCGTCGGCATGAGTTTTATTTAGTCCACCGACACCGTTAAGCTAAATTCCGCCACAATTCTCCCTCTACACAAGATTTAATTGTTGAGCTAGCATGGGCTTTAAATTTTATTTAAATTTCTCCACCATTCGTTAATTTGAAAAATGCAAAGATTTTCATCATAATCAAATGAGTACACCTGATACCCGAATTTTCATCAGCCAATAACGAATAATTAAATTCGAACTTTTTTCCCCCTTCTCAGCGCTGATTTATTTTTTTCATGTTGGTAGTTACGCTTTCACTTGTGCTTATAAATTGATACCGCCAGGCGCCAACACCTAAACTCAGTCAGTAATCAGTAGTTTATTTTCTCACCATACTAAATGCACACTTGATATACAAATTGCAATAAATAAATAAAAGGCATTTCAGGGTGAGGGGAGCCGCGAGAAACCAAATTTGGTTATCGAGCAGCGGCACCCATAAGCAAGTCTAACAAGAAAATAATAACAAAAAAAAGTCGAACTGTGTATATACAGTATCATATATACGTTAATTTGAAAATAAATATAAATACGTCAAGGCATTCCAACCAGGTATGCCCAGTAATCTCGCGTTTCAACAACAAAAACAAGAAACGACTCTGTGCACCAATTATCTAAGTAGCCATGACGATAGCTGCTTTGAATTAAAGTAACAATGGTACCATTGTGAAGTGACTGTGGTCGTATGTAGAACATTGCATGGTGCAGGGCTACAGTTGTTTAGGTATCAATGGTAAAAATGAAGTTTCACGAACAGGAAGCCTACCAGGAGTATGGTATGCATGCAACGGTAGTACCGATAGTTATAAATAATTTAACCTTTTATGGTAAGAAAATTGAACTTCAGTGTGTAACTGGAAGGCACATGATCAATGAATAAATGGTATTCTACAAGATCAAGGTAGGATTAAATTTCATGTGGAACTAACCACTTCATACAGAACATGGAAAAAGCAAAGGTAGGTAGATTGTTAAAAATCTAATGTCAGTCAGTTTATGACATAACGATGCCAAATGTACAAAGATAAAAAATAAAAAAAATGTACAATCGAATATGGTTTAACATTAAAATGATGTTATTAAACTGAACTAACTATCTTATCATCAATGACGCCGGGATAACATAAAAACCGCAATATTAAATAGTATTGAAGAGCTATTTTTTCTAAAAAAAATTCTGTTATGTTCGGTCACTAAACAAATAATTCCGACACAATTTGCTTTTAGATTTATTGTCGTGGCCGCACAAACCATCTTGACTAAGTTGAAATATACGAAAATAATTTGAAATATTTTTAATTAAAAACATCCTCCTAATTGAAATCCTCTCATGTCGTCTATAATTTATGGGCACGCACAAAAGTCTGTCTTCGATTACGATAAAAAATATAAAATAATCATAATATGTTTTCAATCAAAATGCGGACGGCGGCGCTATGACGTGTGCGCGATATTCTGTATTCGGTAAAAACGATATTTGGTCGCGATATTCGAATATTAAACCGATTATAACTTACATACATTTTCAATTTAACAACTTTTTAATGTCTATAGTACTATTCTTATGATGGGAAGTTACATTACAACAATCAAAAACGTGCCATGCGGTAATATTGCTGGTTTGGTAGGAGTGGATCAGTATCTGGTCAAGACTGGAACCATCACAACTTTGACAACCGTATGTATTTACGTTTTATCTTAATTTTATCAGTGAACTTGTTCCTACAAACTTGTCACTTCTGAAGCATCACTCTCCCCATGTGCATTATTGATGAAATTTAATATTCAAAACCTAAGCAATGTTTGAACTTCCACACTGAATTTAACAGGCTCACAACATGAAAATGATGAAGTTCAGTGTGTCGCCTGTGGTGCGTGTTGCAGTGGAACCTAAAAATCCAAGAGATCTGTCTAAGCTTGTAGAAGGACTGAAAAGGTAGGTTCTATTCTATCAAGGCTGTTATAATGGCACCACTAAATTTTACAAAAGGAATTTCACAACAGTATAAATAAACTAAATATATATAGTTATATACTCGGGTACTTGTATATTCAAATTCCAATAGGAAGTATACAGCGTTCAGATTCAGATTTTTTTCAAGCAGTGCAGTTATTAAATATTGCAAGTCACCTCCTAATGAATTTGGGTTATATTTTACCAATGTTTCAAAAAACAAGCCGATTGATTGCTTTCTTCGATATAATTTGCATTCGATTATGTGTTAATTCAAAATTGGAATAGATGAAAGAGATATTGTATATATATCTAGATTGGCAAAATCTGATCCTATGGTTCAGTGCAGCATTGAAGAGAGTGGAGAGCACATTGTTGCTGGGGCAGGAGAATTGCATCTTAAGAGTTGCATGAAAGATTTAGAGGAAAATTATGCCAACATCCCACTGAAGGTTTTTATTATATACATCAGGGGTGGCCAACCTGCTTTCGACCTCGATCGACTGAAATCTTCAAACTAAACGAGTTATTACTGGATATGGGGATAACTGCACACATGCATACAAAAAATTCCACCGCTGCCAATCAGCTCGGCTCTGTGGGCAAATTTTAATGAAATCGCCGCTAATAATTTGTATTTTTTATTACGTTTAATTTGTAAATTTGATTAAGTGATTTTATCTGGAGTACATTTTCAATCTTTTTTTTTAAAGATTTATTCGAATCATCCAATTCAGATCTAAGGCCTGACTGATTTTTAGTCGTAAGTATTGAAAATTCCTCACGAAACCTTGCCAAGTATTCATGTATCATCTAAACAGCGAAAAAATGAATATTCTCAAACCATAAATGTTAAATGACTGCTCAAACTTCAGGATCTAATTTACAATTTTCTCCAAGTCCGATTCGTCGTTCGCTTGGAATTAGAAAAAATCGGCCATTCTGATGCCACTGCTACCATTGCAAATACACTTTTTCACACTGCTCTTGGAGTGAGGAAATAAATTTCGCATTCTGCAAAAGTTATTGTAGGATCGTTTTCAGGCAAAACACACGGTATTTGGCAAGTTCATTTCTGTACCTTGGCAGCAGCGAAATTTTCATTTGTTACGTTATATTATGCTCTGTTGCGTTTACCAGACTCAAATACTGTATATGTATAACGTAATTGGCACATGTTCGGTACAGTATTCTTCCCGTTTCAAAACACATAACAGGCGATGTATAATACTGGTTCAAGAAAATTTATTGGGGTATCATATTAAATTCACTTAAAATCAGACGTGATCGACTACTCCGAGACGTGGCAATCGCCCGATTGCGATCGACATGTTGGCCACCCATAATATACATGATAATGTTTTTGATTTAAATTGAATCCGCCTTGGCAGTACTGTATTAATAAATCTATTGATTCTTAGATATCTGACCCGTTTGTATCTTACCGTGAAACTGTGAAGGATGAATCTGATCGCATGTGTCTTTCGAAATCACCAAATAAACATAATATATTGTACATGAAGGCAAAAGCATTTCCTGAGGGTTTGGCTGAAGCTATTGACGACGTAAGTAGTTTTATAAAGTTTATTTATTAGCTACTGAGGGTGTTGTATCTGAATTATATGTTCCCACTCCATTTTCAATTTATTCAGGGCGATGTCGCTCCTAGACAAGATATGGAAACAAGAGCTCGTTTCCTGGCTGAAAAATTTGAAATGGACGTTAATGAAGCCCGCAAGATCTGGTGTTTTGGACCTGATAATACAGGCCCTAACCTTCTAATGGACGTGACCAAGGGTGTTCAATATCTGAACGAAATCAAAGATTCGGTTGTTGCTGGATTCCAATGGGTAAATAAAGAAGGTATCCTATGTGAGGAGAAAATGAGGGGAATTATTTTCAACGTTCATGATGTTATATTGCATGCTGATGCTATCCATAGAGGAGGTGGACAAATTATTCCAACCACAAGACGGTGCATCTATGCGTGTCAATTAACAGCTTCACCTGCGCTACTTGAACCAATGTATTTGGTTGAGATTCAGGTATGTCGTTTCGTTGCTAATGGCTTTCTTAGAGATTTCTAAAAGATTAGTTAGTTTGTTGTTTAGTCATTTTGTATGTTAATTCCATTTTTTTTGAATGAAACTTCTCTTACTGATTAAGACTTGTTTGGTCTTGCTTGAGAGCATCTCTGTCTGATTATGCCGATAATTTGGGTATCTCTGTAGTCATGAACTTTGGTGATAGTATCGAAATCGTCTTCCATATTGTAAATATTTTTCAATATAGTGTCCTGAAACCGCTGTCGGAGGAATCTATGGCGTACTCAATCGTCGTCGGGGACATGTGTTTGAAGAAGGCCAACACACTGGAACTCCTATGTTCAACGTGAAAGCTCATTTACCTGTGAATGAGTCATTCGGTAAGATAAATAGCTATACTATTGGTGTATGGCAGGGGTGGTCGACCTACTTTCGACCACGGTCGACTAGATTTAGAATCGACTGATCGGTAATGAGGTCACACACAAAAACGAATGACTACTGAATATTCGGATAACTGCACACACGCAAACAAAAATTTCCACCGCTGCCTCTGAATTACACTCTGTGCGCACATTTTTAGCATGATCACCACGAAAATTAGTATTTTTATTGTTCCATTTTATTTGTTAATTTGATTATGTAATTCTACCCAGTATACATTTTCATCATTTATTCGAGAATTCGAATCATACAATTCAAATTTAAGACCTGCTTAATTTTTTAGTGGTGTTGATAATTCCTCAAAAAACCTTACCAAGTATTCACAATATCTAAACAGCGAAAAACAGCGACCTTTATTTGATATGTTATAACATACTCTATCGAACTTGTCAAGACTCAAATACTGTATGTGTAGATCGTATTTTGCGCATGTACATTCTTGTATTCTGCCTGTTTTAAAACACACAACAGGCGTTGCATGAAACTGGTTCAAGGCACTTTTTTAAGGGTATGTTATTAAATTTACACAACCTCAGACTAGATCGACCACCTGTGACTGAAATGGCGATCGTCGTGTTGGCCATCTGTGGTGTACGGTGTGGATAGAAAAGCATCAATGACACTTTAAATTTTCTCTGTAATTCCTGATAAAATTTTAAGTTATTATAAAATCATTTTGAAAATCGTAGTTTTTCGTATGGCTTTACTAATACTAATTATTATAGGTATGTGGTGCTTTGTGGACTTTAGACTACACTTGCTTGCATGAAGTACTGTTGAACATTCATATCTTAATTCTAACAGGATTTACTGACGATCTTCGCTCCAATACCGGTGGCCAAGCTTTTTTTCACAGTGTTTTTGATCACTGGAACATTGTTCCTGGAAATGCAATGGATTTAACGTCTAAGCCTGGTGTTATCGTTGCCGCCACAAGAAAACGAAAGGGCCTTAGTGAAGAGATACCACTACTCGACCAGTACTTGGACAAGCTGTAAATATAAAAGTCATGAAACTGTTACCAATGCTGCGTGAACCATATTATAGAAGATGTATTAAGTTTCCTGTTGATAGATATTTCACTCAAATTCCGTACATTTTGATCAGTCATGTCAGTTCTTTTGAAGAAGCGGACTTCGATGTAACATATTCAAAATGATAACTGTAAATAGTAAGATGAAAGATTTATTGTAGAATTTTGCTCAAATGAAATATGATCCACGTAATCACGGATATGTCCGAGTGGATCGGGGACGCTCATTCGGCTCGACAAGAGTCCACTGCCATGTATGGGCCATGTTCAAATTGTTTTATATAGTTACGTCATTTTTGGCTCAGTGTTGACTCGACTCGAGTCACTTTGTTGTGAATCGAACAATAAAAATGTAATGAATCGAACTATCATGTGTAAGCAATCGCCAGTGAGACTTCGCCCAATAACTGAATATACTCTGAACTAGAATGGCCCGGTACTCGCTCCTTATAGGATATTATATCAAACGCTGCTTCTGCCACAAATTGTAACTATAAACGGTATCCTAATTTGCACCAATACTAATGAATTTGATATATTGTCTGACATATTGATGAAATAAGTCTCTTTATGTAAGTGTAAATAATATTTTCTGACTTTTTTATTAGTTGTGCACCCATTTCAACGACACCAGAATGTCGTTTTATTTGGCATCATGTTGCGGTATGTGCATCAAGTATGTTATTGTTCATATTTATGTATGTTTCTCAGTCTCCTAGTAATCTATTTCAGTTAAAATGAAAAAAATTGATCTAGGTCTCTCAATATCTTCTTACTCAATGATCATGTTCAGTATTAGAACACAGGGACAAATTATTTTGTGGTAAAGTCTAGTTTTATTCAGAAATGAAATAGAGAAAGTATTGGAGCGAGAACTCCTTTATTTGTATTTTTGCTGTCTTTGTAATAAGGCCATTATTAATTTTTTCAAGTTTGTTCTAAACGATCATTAAAATAAGTGATTCGGTGTAAGTTTGAATTGTTTAACATTTTTTAATCAGGGATATTTACAAAAGCCAAAAATGTCTCGGTACTTTTATTGCAGCGGTTACCAATGGGGGCGTTCACGTTAGCGATCAGACAAAGTGAATGGTCATAACTGGGGAAGGGGAAACTAAAAAACACTTGGACACAACTCAAGTGGCGTGGCCTATTCTGTATTTTAATTACGGGGAATGGACAAAAGATTTATAATGCAAATAAAACCCCATGTTTGTATCTGTTATTTCTATTACAATTTGGTTAGTTTTTCTCCAATGAATAAAAAAACATATAAGTCGGCGACTGGAGTTTAGCACCAGGCTATCGAAAGTATTGAACCGGCATCGGCAAGCATTTGTAGGGAATATTAGTAATTTATTGTTAATTACACTTCAACGCATACAAATGCTCAGATTCAAACTTTGAAACCAACAATACAAAAAATGAACTAAAATTTCAAACCATTGGAATATGAAAAAATATGCCTCCTGGAAATCCCACAGGCTCCGAGGATTTCAATAATATCTTAAAATTAATTAATCATTTGAACTTTATTAAAGAAAGGACATTATTGGAAAACAAGCCGTCCTCCGAAGATAACATAAACGATATATATATAATATAGCCAAAAGCAACGCTGAAGACGACTTTATATATGCCTTGTTGTTTATAAGTCATCCCAATATTTTATCCGCATTTTTCATGATAACGCTTGCTTTGGGGCATTGTATGTTTTATATGTTTTTTAGAGGGCGAGCATAATTTCAATGCCTAGAACTAGAACAACACCGAAATACGACAAAGCTAGGCAATTTTGGTTTGATTTCAGGAACCCAATTCGTCAACCAAATCCCGCAGAGCCTGATTCAAATTTAAATATCGTATTTCCCGGCGAATAAGTCTCTTTTCTAGGCCCATATTTTGGCATGATTTCGGGGGTCGTCTTATTAGGCGAGTATGATAGTTATTTTGGTGTCGCCCTATTATTCAATTCGTACCATAGAATACCAAATACCTTCGGCGATAGCATCCCCACGTTTTCATCATTTCGGTGTTGTTTTAGATTGGTAATGTTCCTATATGGTGCACGCAATCGCGAGTTTGGTTGAACACAATTAGATTAAAATTGAAAGACAGTTTGAATTCTCGTATAGTTGTTATGGATTGAATATCACTCTAAAAGAAAAAGTCATTATAGGGTATTTCAACCAATGCGCAAAGGCGGCGACCGCTCAAAAGCCTCTGCATGGTAATTTGAGATTCCGATGTTGATGCGATTTTACTACTCGTCTTATTGGCAGGTTATATGCGAAAAGCCATTTTTCAGGCTTAAAAATGGATCTCGTCTTATTCACCAGGTAGACTTATTCGCTAGGAAATACGGTACGTCAAATAGAGAAGACACCGAAACTGTTGGGCATATCGATGCTTCCCATACTTCTAATAACCCACCCAATCTATGCCCCGATCTCTCTGCTTGAATTTTCAACTCCGTTGGTGATATGTTTTTTATATCAGATGTGAATATTTTGTTTGTGTGAGTTATATACTTGAAAAAATGTGTAAAATAAAATCAAAAATAAAATGAATGAAAAAAAAAATATATATATATATTACAATTCAAGGGTCGGCAACCTACGGCCGGCCCGCGGAGTAATACAATCCGGCTCGCGACGAATTATATTAATAAAACAGCTGTTTTGACGATTATATTCTTTACGTAACAGAATTTATTCTGAGGCAGTTGTAGACCTAATTATATTATAACCTAACAACTATATAAATCACGATTACTCGTTTAATGAGCCTACAATTTATATATAATTACACAAATGGCAACAAAACGCAGAAAAGTTGATGCTAAGTGCAAAGGGTTCAATGGCGCCGAAAATATTCAAATGGAATTTTTTGAGATGCAATGCAATGAGGAAATAAATCTATATTTTATTCAAGAGATGTATCACTGCTTAATTTTTATTATAAAAAGTATCGTTCGTTCGGTTTTCAACTTTCTAAAAATATGTGCGGCCCGCCAATGACTTGCAACCCTTAATTTCGGCCCAGAGGGTTGCCGACCCCTGAGATACATGATAGAAATATATATCGATGTTTTGTATTTTTTGACATGTTTTCATGTTATTTATTTTTCAGAATACAATTGATCTTTTATCATCATGAATAAAACATTACATTCAACTAATTGTGTTACATTTTCAATATCATTCAGCAGTTCTTAAACTGGAGTAAATTTCGTTATTGTAAAAACAGATTTGGAATAAACAAAAACCGCATCTTGTTTTGTTGCGAGAAACATTGTGTTATTGGCAGGCTAACTTGTGAAAAAGATTTCCAGTTCAGTGGTATTAGCCTGGTTGTTCCCAACCGCGGTCCGCCAAATATATTCAAATATTAATATATTATTAGCAAATTGCAAAATACAAAATATTGACGGCATGTCCAATAATTTTGTGATTTTTCTAACTCCTATTGATTCGTAGTACCGGTGTTCGCCTAACAACCAAACTTGGTGAGGGGTCCTCTGCCCATTTTAAGCCCTGAACGGCTGGATGTTCGTGAAGTCTATGACCTCATAACGGCGGTAACATCATAACGAAGAAGTTTGATAATACGGACGTACGGAACCAGATTGAGAACTTCGCCGTTTGCACGTACCGTAATTTTGCGGTAAGCCTATAATTTAGCGAGGTTTGATGGTAAAATGGAGGCAAACAAATAGCAAAGTATTATCCACTTTTCAAAAGAAGCCCATCGGTGAAAACCAAGTTAGTGGAGTTGACAGGACAGAGAAAGAAATTGCTACTTCAACTTTACATCTCGAAACGACCTTTCAGCAATGTTGATATCGTTCACGCAGAAAGAAGTAAAAAACGGAAGGGAGACATTATTAGGCAGTATGATAAGAAGTATTTGGAGCTGGGTTTCACTATTGCTCCCAGCAGCGAAAAAGTACCGCTTCCCAAGTGCCTAGTCTCCATTCTTAAAGTTTCTTATTCAATTAAGCTTCAAATAAGCAAAACTAAAAAGCCTTTGTCGGCAACCTTTTGTCGCTCGCGGGCCAAAACTGAGGGCTGCAAGTCATTGACTGTGGCCGCATATATTTTTAGAAAGTTGAAAACCGAAGGGACGATACTTTTTATAAGTAAAAATCAATCAGTGATACATCTTTCGAATAGAATATACATTTATTTCCTCAATGCACTGCATCTCAAAAATTCCATTTGAATATTTTCGGCGCCATTGAACCATTTGCACTTAGCACCAACTTTTCTGCGTTTTGTTGCCATTTGTCTAATTATAATTAAATTATAGGCTCATTAAACCAGTAATTGTGAATTATATACTTGTTTGGTTATAATATAATTTAGTCTACACGTGTCTCACAATAAATTCTGTTACGTAAATAATATATTATTCAAAACAGCTGTTTTGTTATTATAATTCAGTGAGGCGTCGCGCGCCGGATTGCATTACTCCTCGGGCAGTAGGTTGCCGACCCCTGCCTTATACCATCCGTTAGCTTTCGGTCAGTCACTCGGTCTTGGTTTGTTCTCGCCGGTTTTATATTCGAAACGCTTGGATTTTGATGACCAAATTACTTCGATGGCTAAATTTAAACAGGCGAAATTTGATAGTTTTTTTCAGCGGAATAAAGAGTCGCTTTCCTCAAAAACTTCAATAAGCGCTACTCAGGCTGTGGATGCACCGGTTACGGCAGTTACGTCTATCACTTCTATTCCCGAAGATAAACAAATATATATTCGAAGAAGGAAAAACCAACGATCTTGGATTTATTCTTAAGAAACATACGCAGCTTACCGACGCGGAGAAATACAGGCATCTAACTTCGGATGGTCCGAAAAACGTGACGATTTTGGATACCGTTAGACGAAGTCGCCGTAAATTTCTCAAAAAATGGCTTGACGATGACAGATTTTGCAGTTGGTTAGTTTACACCCAACTCTGTGATGGGGTGGTTTGTGTAAGATATGCATCGTCATGCAAGAAGCATGGAACTCTCAGGGACACTGCTTTTGTTACAAGACCATGCATTAACTACAAAAAATTTATGGAAAAGGCTGTAGCCCACCTAGACACAAATTACCACCGAGAATCAACTATAGCTGCGAAAACGCAAACAAAAGAAAACAGACGAATATTGACTTCCATTGTCAAGACTGTCATGTTCTGTGCTTCGGGTAACATAATAAAAAGTTGTTTATTAAAATGGATTTTGTATTCACAAAAAAACAGCTGAGTTGTTGAATCAGTTTGCTTATTGATTAACTGTCGTTGTTTCGCGCTTGAAGAAGGGGTGTCTTAAACTCAATATAATTTCTAAAATTTTCAAATTTGGCCCCCCCCTCCCCCCCAATTTTGGGCTGGCTACGCCACTGCTTCAAGCCATACACCACTTTCAAATGACCGAGTTAAATGGGTTATAATGGATATGACAGTTGATGTTGAAGAGCAGGTGATTGAACAAGTAAAGAAATCGAAATATTTCGCTATTGTACAGCTTGACGAATCTACAGACTTGAGCAATTGTCATATTCTCAAATGCTTTGTTCGGTATAAAAATGGAAGGAGAATCATTTATTTGTTGTCTCCAATAACCCGGACGAACTACCAGTTCAAAAATATTCCTGTCTCGTAATAACTATGTGCAAGATCAAGGTTTAGATTAGGAAAATGGATCGGTGTTTGTACCGACGGTGCTGCCAACATGATTGGGTGTCATTCGGGTGTAACTACGGAAATTAGAGCAGCGGCAAACAAAGATATACTGACCACACACTGCGTTCTCCACCGGGAAAAATTATTTGCCAAAAAACTTGATACGATATGACGTAATATACCCTATAGCGCCACCCATGTTTCATGTCCTTGGTTATCCTTGTACAACGTGTCAGTCTCAATTTTAACTGTTCTACTATGCGGTGCTTTCTATGTTTACTGTTGTGGCTGCAGGCATTCGATCCCTTCCTTAGTCTGTTGATGGAATGCTAGCAGACGAATCTAATAACAATTCAATGCAGCTTGACTCGTGTTTCAATATTTTAATAGCATGAAAATCCAGCTTCCACAGGACAAAGTCCAGAAATAATGCAGTAATGTCATCAAACATGAAATATTGTGTTCCGGTTAAATGCTAATTGATAATTATAATGTTGAAACTGCGGTAACTGACATTGAATTCGGTGCTTCTCTGGCAGATTATTATAACAAACTGTGTAAACAAGAACATAACAATTAATTACCTTTTCGTCAAAACAATATGCAACTGAACTCAATACCAGTACCGGTACATATCCTAAGCTCATATTTATACATGCAGATTCAAACAACAAAATCTGACACTAGAATAATATTAATACAGCCATACACGTCTGAACTATACAGAAACAGCACTAACTCGTGTTACAGACCAGAGACAGGAAATAACATGATTTCCAGATCATTCTAACTAAACGAAACATTCTAACTATGACGTCATACAATCTCGCCCGTCAATCATTAAAGACACTGCTGCAAACCGCTGCAGTAACATGGCTCTCCTGCAAAACAATAACTACCTACTATGTTTTGCAATTATACAAATCGACTCTAAACCTAACTCAATGAACATATAAAATTAAACAGAGTAACATTAAGAAAGAAACAGCACTATTTACACATAGATTCCTTACAAAATCTAAAGAAAATTACACTTACGGAACCAACTCTCAATAATTACATATGGGATTAATTACTAGTTCGCCGATTCATCGTTTCCTCTATCAAACAATTTTCAGTTTCCTCATTAGCTTTATATAATGAGCTTTTCCAACTCTGATCTTGTTGCCAAAGAAATTCTGGTCCTCTTAGCCAGCGAGAATCATAAAGAAGTTCTCTTACACTTATGCCTCTTGAGGCGTCATCACTAGGATTCGCAGATGAATCGATGTAAAACCATGTATCAGATTTACTCAAATCGTGTATCTGTTGCACACGTTTAGCTACGAACACATGAAATCTTTTTGCCTCATTATTTATGTAGCCGAGAACTACCTTGCTATCCACCCAATGAAAAACACTGATGTCCTTATACTCGAGCTCCCGAACAATTAGGTCACTCATTTTTGCTGAGTTCACAGCTGCAGTCAGCTCCATTCTTGGTATTGTGATTTGCTTCAACGGGGCTACACGAGCCTTTCCCATAACAAAACTGCAATGAATCTCACCCCGCTCATTAGTCAGTCTCAAATAAGTACACTGGCCATAACCAATTTCACTGGCATCCGAGAAACTATGAAGTTCAACAGAGCTGATACGGCCAAAGTCTTCAGGTTTATAACAGCGAGGAATCTTCAGTCGCTCCAATTCTAGAATTTCATTGCGCCATTTTTCCCATTTACTTCGCAAATAATTAGGCACTGGGTCATCCCAGTCATATTTTTCTTTGCAGAGTTCTTGTAAAATCATTTTTCCTCTTAAAACAACTGGTGCTAAAAATCCCACAGGATCAAAAATAGAACTCACCGAGGAGAGGATGTTTCTTCTAGTAAACGGAAGATCCTTTATTTCTATTTTGAACTGAAAATCGTCGGATTCAATACACCAGACAATACCCAAAGTCCTTTCAATTGGTAGAGGATCAACTGTGACGTCCAGAGTTTTAATATCCTTAGCTCTTTCATCTTCTGGTATGGATTCAAGCACTTCACTGTTATTAGATATGAATTTATGCAATTTGAGGCCAGCACTGGCACAGAGTGCTCGACTCTGTTGAATTAAATGAACTGCTTCTTCAACTGTAGCCACAGACTTCAACCCATCATCCATATAGAAATCCTGTCGAATATAGTTAGCTGCCGCTTCTCCGTATTCGGCTTCTCCTTCATCAGCACATCGTTTTAAACCAAAGTTTGCACAACCTGGACTGCTGGCTGCTCCAAATGGATGACTTTTCATTCGAAATTCTACGATACTTCTGTTAAAGTTGCTATCTTCCCACCATAAGAACCGTAGGAGATTTCTGTCTTCTTCTTTTACATAAAACTGGTGGAACATGGACTTAATATCGCTTACTACTGCAATAGAATCTTGCCTGAATCTCCACAAAATTCCAACCAAATTTGACATTAAATTCGGACCCTGCAAAAGGTAGTCATTTAGTGAAACACCAGCGTAGACCGCAGAGCAATCAAATATAACTCTGATTTGATCAGTTTTCCTTTTATGGTAAATTCCAGAGTGAGGTATGTAGTTAACTTTACCATTGAGCAGCAACAATTCTTCATCTGGGACCCTTTCGGCACAATCTCGAAGTGTGTTTTCCCTGAATTCAACATAGTCATTTTTAAATCTTTCGTCTTTCAGTAGTCTCTTTTTAAGTTGGAGCAGTCTACGCAATGCTAGTGATCTATTATTTGGTAATGAAACTTCCCTAGACTTTAAAGGCAGAGGCATTTCGAAATGACCATCATTGGTTCTGACTATATTTTCTGATAAAATTTTCAAAAATCGAGAGTCATCAATAGAAAGCTCGCTGTATTTATTTTCACGCTCTGTGAATTCTAGCTCCAGCATTCGCTGTAGATGGTGAGGCTCAATAATTTCTTTTGTCTTTGTCAATAAAGCAAATCTGCATGTTACTTCAGGATAAATATCTACATCATGGTTGCTTACATCAGTATCAATCAGATGAGAAACAGCTGGTTTGAGTGAAGACCTCCGTACTGCTCCAACAATTCCCCAGCCCAGAATTGACCTTTGAGCATATGGCTGGTCATCACGGCCAGCAATTATTTCTCTAGGTCTCAGTACACTAGGAATGTTGTTCCCAAGCAATAATCCAACTGGAACGATTGGATGATATGGTGGAATTAGATCAGCAATTTTTTCTAAATGAGGCCATGCCCTTGCCTTATCTGGTGTGGGTATTTGTGATCGTCTAATTGGAATTTCTTCTCGAGTGTACACCGGTGGCAATCCTATACACACTTTACGATCATAGCTGAGCACTTCCAAACATGATACTTTTCTAGTTGCAATGGCCACATTGCTTTTGAACATTGTTGATAGAGTTATGCTGGTTTCGTGTCCCTTGACACCAAGTTCTTCCTGGACCTGATGACTGATGAAGCCTGTATTAGATTGCTCATCTAGAATGCAATAAGACAAAACTTCCTTACTATGATCACCTTTATCTCTGATCCACACTGGAAGTATCATAGATAAGTCACATTCGATGTCATGCAATTGGTCAATCTTGTTACTGGTCGTAGTGCATAAAGATGTGGTCTGCTCTGACGTCTTTTGTTTTTCTGCTTGATGAAAACAAGTCATATGAGTTTTCTGGCATATTTTGCACTTCGCCTTATCTTTACAATTTCGTGCAAAATGACCGCTTTCTGAGCCACACGCAAAACAAAGTTTGTTGCTTAGAATGAATCGTTTCTTGTCCATCCTTGATAAACTAATGAACTTCTCACAATCTTGGAGAAAATGATCCTTATTACAAAATTTACATTGTGATTTACACTCTTCTTTTGTTGAAGTGGATAGCACCACAACCTTGGATCTTCTGTTTGACATATCGGCTTTGTGATATGATGCTCTAGATTCTTTTTTGAGATCACTCAATTCTGGAATGTTGGCATTCTCTGCTTGATCGTACACAAATCTTACAAGAACATCAAAAGATGGATAAGCATTTTCATTTTTCTTTTCTTGTTTATACTTTCTAACTTCAATTCTCCACAAGTTTATAACGTCATATGGCAACTTTGCCACAATATTCGTATTTTCTTGGGAGTAATCCAGAATACCCAAACACTGAAACCGCCTTTTTGCAGCCAGAAGTTGATTTAGGAAGTCAGAAAACCTTCTTATGCTAATTGGGTCATGTGGTGCTATATTGGGCCATTCTTTCAATTTAGTAGCAAACGCTTTACTTATCAAATTTGAATTCCCATACCTTCGCTTCAGCTCCTCCTTTGCCATTACATATGCATCTTCGGTCTGAAGTAACAAATAACCTTGCACAAGTTCCTTCGGCTCACCGCTCAAATATTGGTTGAGCAAATTCAACTTTTGTTCTACACATGCCGCTTTGTTATCAACTAAACCATTGAATGCAGTCTCCCATGATGGATATTTAATAATTTCCCCAGTGAATACTTCAATTTTGATTTCTGGAAGTCTATATTGAGCTCCTCTATCTGCTGATCTATCACATGTTGTCTTAATTCCACTGGAAAAGGGGTGATTGTTGACAATGTTTTGACCATTGAGCTGGCTTAGCAAGTTATCACCTTGTCTCACAGTAGAATACAGGCGTTGTGGAGATGGTAAATTGCTCATTGGTGCATACCCATATGAAAACGGAACACTTTGCATGGCATTTTGTGTGTAACATTGACCATCGATTGGAAGGTGCTGCACGACAGAATTTACAGATTGTGGATGTGATGAGCAAATTACGGTTGATGGTGTTTGCAAATGTCTTGTTGAACCAGAAACAGAATAAACATAACTAGCTGATGTTGGTGAAGATGGCTCTCCGTGACATATTGGCAACTTGGAACCCCCATCTAATTTCCGTTCGGTTAATTTCAAAGACTTGGTACTCTCTAATTGTGATAGAGATGGCTCTCCATGGCATATTGGCAACTTAGATGTCTCACCTAAATTTTGATTGGTTAATTTCAACTGCTTGGTACCTTCCAGTTGTAATAGCAATGGCTCTCCATGGCAACTTGACGACTCTGGAACCTTACCAGAGTCCTGACTGGCTATAGCCGAGAGCTCATTACTTTCCAGTTGAAGTTTCACTTCTTCTTCATCAAGAACAGATAGGCAGGCTTCATTTACTTCAATTTCTCTTCGAAGCTTAAGATTGCTTATTGATGACTGGAACTCCTTCATTAGTCTATCCTCCTCTTGCTGATACTTTTGCTTTACTTTCAGGTCAGCAAGATTTGTTTTATATTTCAGTCTAAGTGAAACAAGGCTGGAGTTGCTTTGTTGAGAAATTGAACTTTTTTCTGTTTTGTGACTGCAATTAGAGCAAGCAGAACCAGCAATTGAAAGTGCATCATCCTCACCTTTCATCTCATCAGTTAAATGCTGAACTTGTTTGGAAAGGCACCTTAAATCCACATTGGGTATATCGCTCATTGTTTCTTCTATTTCTTTTGACATACCACTCGAAGATGCAAGCAACTCGGAATTGACATCAGAATTGACATAATTTGGATTGTCAGCTGTTGGTGTAAACTTTGATACTCCTTCTTCTCGGTTGTCTTGACTTGCCATTATTCTGTTGACTGTTATTGTTGTTAATTCTGTAAATATTCCTGATGACTCGAATCTGACAGTTCAGCAGACCTATTGTCAGTTACTGTGGCTGCAGGCATTCGATCCCTTCCTTAGTCTGTTGATGGAATGCTAGCAGACGAATCTAATAACAATTCAATGCAGCTTGACTCGTGTTTCAATATTTTAATAGCATGAAAATCCAGCTTCCACAGGACAAAGTCCAGAAATAATGCAGTAATGTCATCAAACATGAAATATTGTGTTCCGGTTAAATGCTAATTGATAATTATAATGTTGAAACTGCGGTAACTGACATTGAATTCGGTGCTTCTCTGGCAGATTATTATAACAAACTGTGTAAACAAGAACATAACAATTAATTACCTTTTCGTCAAAACAATATGCAACTGAACTCAATACCAGTACCGGTACATATCCTAAGCTCATATTTATACATGCAGATTCAAACAACAAAATCTGACACTAGAATAATATTAATACAGCCATACACGTCTGAACTATACAGAAACAGCACTAACTCGTGTTACAGACCAGAGACAGGAAATAACATGATTTCCAGATCATTCTAACTAAACGAAACATTCTAACTATGACGTCATACAATCTCGCCCGTCAATCATTAAAGACACTGCTGCAAACCGCTGCAGTAACAACTGTTAATATAAGTTGATAACGTCGAGAACCCGTAACGCTAGATGGAGAACGAAACATGGTGTCAGAAGCGGTGACGGATCAACAATAAGCGCTGGACTCGATGAAGAGGCTGTGACACATATGGAATGAAGTGTACTAGTAAGTCTTACTTCGACAAGGTTACGTTCATATTTCCTGTTCAATGGCCACAAATAGTATCCCCGCACCCTTGGCTGTGGAAATAGACAAAAATGCAGCAGCCAATTGGTCTTTCTCCCGATCGCCATGGGAGAATTATGAAATAGCAACTGGCTTAGAAGAAAAGTCTGATAGAATTCGTGTCGCCACATTACTTGGGGTAATGGGTAAAGATTGCTACAGAATATACCAACATCTTGACATTTCTGAAGAAGATAGATAAAGTGTCAAATCTATATTGGGCGCTTTAGATAAACACTTCGAAACTACTAGAAATGTTGCATATGAAAGACATGTTTTTTATACATGCGACCAGAGACTAGATGAATCATTTAATGATTATGTCACTAAACACTAAAATTTCTCTTGCAAACGAATATCCCGAGCTCGGTGACAGACCCATTAAATTACTGCTGGTTTTTTGTACAACTTATCTTTGTGAGAAAAGCTTTTCAACGTTAACTCTCATTAAAACCAACAAGAAAATCGTGTGGGAAACCGCGCTCTACTTCGCTTTGCAGAAACTTCATTAGAACCGCGTTTAACACGTATAATATTAAAAAGTTGCAGCAAATTTCTCATTAACTTGGATTGTCTTCTTTTGCACCGCCTACTTTTGACGTACTTGCATTCTTTTGATTATGTATTGTGTTCATGATATTTTTGGTTAATTTTAAAAATCGGCCGGTCCGCAAATTTTGGTTTGAAATTTTACAGGTCCGCAAACTGAAAAAGATTGAGAACCACTGTTTTAGCCTATTATTTCCTGACTATATCGCGACGCGTACAGAAGGCGAATCTGGCAACTGTTATCGAGACCGCCGGCGGATTGTCGCAAATTCAGCGTTGGAGTGAGGAATGTAAGCTCGACAGTCATTCGTTCCGGGTAAAAATGAACGAGGTTCTAATTAAGTGCCTCCGCACTCGTGGAACATGGATTTCTGAGGGAAGCCAAATCACTCATTGGCCATGATCAAATTGATTCATTGAGTCAGTCTCAATTTTCATCATTCGAAGCCTCAATCCATAGTTTCATCGTCAGCATCCCCTGAGCACAAGATTGTTGGGATTTACGTGCTTTACCAATCGGCTCCAGGAAAATATCCTCCGCCTATTGAAATTCACATTATTGTAAATGAAATAAATAAAGTGAATTATTTTAGTTGAAATCACTGGAAATCGTTTTTAGATCCACCTTACTTTCTTACATTTATTAATGAAGTCGAAATCAGAAGCTTGTTTTCCTAAAATTTTTATCTTTTTATTATTCAACAATATAAATTCATGACACTCATTTTAAATACGCTTTGATTTTATTTTTGATTTAACGTATATTTTCTCAAATTATGGATATTTGTTTAAAATATGAGGCATGAGATTGTTATTAAAATCGAATTGTTTAATATCGCGCCCCAGTTTTAAAATAAACGATCGACTAAATCAGTGCTTTCTACCTGGGTTACGCGGCACTTTCCGCACTATAGTCCAGGGGCACCGAAAGCTTACTTTCAAACCGAGAGTCTTTAATCAAATACCCGTTACGTTTGGAACTTTTATTAAATTTGTTACGCTTTAACGATCATTTTGTTTTGCCAGTATTGGGTTTAGTTTTATCCAAATGTATAGTCAAAAGAATACTATTACAGGCGTACAAGTTTGCACAGACTTCGTCGACCCTCCAAAATGTTTCATTGGGGTTTGGGGTTCCTCTTCGCCAAGAACAATGAAAACCACCAAATTGAAAGCTGTAAATATTTCGAACCAGATTTGTCGTTTTATATTTAACTTTTGCTTTTTTTTTCAGATTCGATTTTTCATATTTTATCTAAGTTTTAAATTTTAGGAAAACTTGCCTCGTGATTCAATAAGTTCTGCTGCATTGTATTGCTGGTTATTCTCGCTTTGCGAAATTTAAATGGAGTTAGGATTTGAAAAAGAAAACATTGGTTCCAGATGCGTAACCGCTTATTTCTTCAAACCTGTTTCCCAAATATCACCCCTTTTTCAGCTCGTGACCTGTTATTTACATCTCAGTTTTCGTATTTCACAACTAAATGAATGAAAACAAGGATGCAAATTGAGCTGAAATACATTTATTCTAATAGTGCAGAAACGGAACGGAAATATATGCTTGATGCAGCTATAATTTTGTGTTTATTTTTAGCCAGATGAAGTTTAATCAGGTTTTTATTGAAAGATTGAACTTATCATCGCTAGAGCAATCTTGACTTGACATTACAATGTTTGAACCAATATGAAAAATCTCTAGTGAGTTCAGTATGCCTGTGTTATGAATTCGCTGTCTTGAAAACTGTTAAATTAAGTCTTGACCAGTTCCATCCTCCAGATAGATTGGATAAATATGACATGATCCTGGAATTGTCTACAAGTTCAAACTGTTGAACCAATTGCCGTTAACAGATTGCTACATGGTGGATTGTCTTTTCACGTCTACGATGTGAACAAGACTGTATACCAGGCATGTCCAACCTTTTCAGTGCCGCGGGCCACAAACTTAAATATATATATATATATATACCAGTTCTGATTTACGATAGAATTTGCGCGCCGTTGAATCAAACGCTTGGATTGCACAAAGCTATTGCGAATATCTGAACACAATATGCATGCATTTTAACGCAGTGGCAAAATTTCAGGAGTTTTATTTAACGCAAAAAAAGTCAAAAAGCCAGTAGCAAAGATATTGTACAGTAGTACACTCTTTACTTTACGGTGGCGATACGGAAGATTAAAGTCTACATTAAAGATAATAACATAATGAATTAAATTTGGAAACTGAGTTGCAAATTTATTCCTATAATTTTTCTCGGCCAATGATCGAATAATAGCTTTCGATTTTGCTGAGCAAAATGCGTGGTCCTTCGAGAAATAAAAAAACATCGATGTCGGCCAGAGCGCAAGATTTGGTACACGTGTGTTAAGGAGAACCGATATTGGGATGTACATGGCTGGAACAAACAAACCAAAATCACGCCCTACATAAAATTCACGGCTCGTTGTAAACTAAAGGGATGTTGAATACAACATGTTGAAATAGACAAATCGTCCATATCAGTACTCACTGCAGCCGTCTCGAAAAAAATCATTTAGTCGTGTCTCTCGCGCGTTTAAACGACGAGGTATAATTTTTTTAATACTGATTTACTTAATTTTTTATTGGAGGTGTCAATTGTGGCTCAAATTTAAGGACGACATTGGGTTAAGTTTATTTAATTTCGAAAAATACTGCGCGGGCCACTCGGAACTCTTCTGTCGGCCACGGGTTGGACGACCGTGCTGTATGTACCATCGGTTCCCCCAACTTTTTGTTCGTGAAAAAATCACTCATGTTCACTAAACTCGGTTCAACAGATAAATAAACTGCAGCTCGCGAAATTGCAGAAAGTAGTGTCCATATCTAAAGGAAAGGACTACGTAACAGAAAGTAAACACCACAGAATGGTAAAATGAGTTTATTGATTCATTTATACAGCATTTAAGAGACAACCTGAACATAGTATGTGCACCAGGTTAGGGTTCAGGTTATGCGCCATCTTGGTGCACATACTTCCGGACCGCCGAATATTTTTAACGAATACCGAATGGTCGAATACTAAATATTTTTATACACAACAGGGATCCAGAACGCCTTGGGGTCGATACCCCCTTTGGAAATTAATAGAAACATTGAAAAGTCGGCAATAAAGTGTTATTTTACTGGTTAATTGTAACTTCATCATAATGGCTGATTGTCTTTGTCACCGCGATTGTTTCGGCGGCGATACCCTAAAGTTGGTGATCTATATTCCCGCTCTTCCTCGTTTTTTGGAAGTATAAGGGCAGTGTTCCCGTGTGCGCACGCACACAGCTTTCCGAGGCTGGGTACACACATAGATTTACTGCGCACAGACGTATTTCGATGTAATGTAACAATGTGCTCGGTTGGCAGGTTGAGAAAGTTTGTTGTTGGCCCCCTTATTACCTGGTTAGAACACCAAAATTTCTTCATTGGTTTTTGCACAAATATTAGTCATTTTCAAAAAAGAGCGCACACACCAAAATTTCTGCGAACACATACTACAAAAATTAGAGGGAACACTGTATAAGGGGTAGCCGGATATCAAAGTTTCATAATTTTTGTATAACCGTGCGTTCACATCATCGACAGCTGTTGAATACATTAAGGACTGATTTCAAAACCAAATTGATTTTATTCTGAGTTTTATCCTTTGCCTTACATACCACAGCTTGTAAATTAACCGTGCCTGTTTAAAGTGAACGGTAACCGAGATGCAGATATTTATTTATATGATACTTGAGTTTCTCGTGCTTTTCTACGGTGTTCGTGTTATTTTAGTAATATATATATAGATAAACCTTGCAAATCTGCGATTGCGTGGATCCTGAATGTAGATTTGAAAAAGCGATTAAATAAATTGGCAATAATGTCATTTTTAGACCTTTGGGCATAATTATTAGTCCCAATTGCCTAGAAATGACTTCAGAAGCTAATTATACCCAATACCTTCAAGTTTTAACGTTTTTTTTTCAACAAAACAACACCCCGACGGTTATTATAGCTAAAATACGTACCGAGTAATGCTCAATTTTATTTACGGAATTTGCAAATTCGGCACTAACACTTGATGATTTCGATTATGTTGTCATGCCTTAATTATTACTGCCTAATTGCTTCAAAAT